ACCGAACAGCAGGTTTACAATGTTCTTAAATCTATTGATGCTAGTAAGGGTGCCGGGCCAGATGGGATTCCCCCCCTATTTATCAAGAGAACTTCAAAGTTTTTGGCACTTCCTCTTAAACTTATTTTTGAAAAATCTCTCACATCAGGTATATTCCCCTCTGAGTGGAAGCGTTCTCATGTTATACCAATATTCAAAAAAGGCAATAAAGAGTATGTAACTAATTACCGACCCGTGTCAATCATAAGTCAATTTGCGAAAGTATTTGAACGTATTATTTATCCCACTATAACAAATTATTTAAAAATCTTAATAACAGATGCTCAACATGGATTCTGTAGTGGTAAATCGACTGTCAGTAATTTGATGGATTATACAACGGAACTAATTAAGTCAGTTGATGGTCGTTTGCAGGTAGATTCTGTATACACCGATCTTTCCAGTGCATTTGACCAAGTAGACCATGGGATTCTTCTATCAAAACTGAAAGCTTACGGTATTCATGGTGACCTTTTACGGTGGATAAGTTTGTACTTAAGAGACAGAATCCAAAGCGTAACGGTACATGGATATAAATCAGATGATTATGTCTCAATTTCAGGTGTGCCTCAAGGCTCCCACCTCGGACCGATACTTTTCTTGGCGTTTATTAATGATATATCTGTTTCCATCAAATATAGCAAATTTTCGATTTTTGCTGACGATTTAAAACTATACAGAGTTGTAAACAATCAGGAAGACTCTTCCCTGTTGCAGAGAGATATCGATGCGGTGGTGTAATGCTAATAAGATGAAACTTAATGCGCAAAAATGCACTCATGTAAAATTTACAAGAAAATAGACGCCTTTTGCATCTTTTTATAGTGTTTCTGACCATAGATTAAAAGGATCGTCCAATATCCGTGACCTTGGGGTGTTATTGGATTCAAAATTGAATTTTGTAGATCATATTGATAGTGTTGTAACACAGTCTTGGAAAATGCTCGGTTTGGTAAAACGTGTCAGCAAGGATTTTAAAAACATTGATACCCTTAAAACCATATTCAATGCTCTCGTTTGCAGTAAGTTGGAGTATGCTTCAAACATATGGAACCCCATCTATAAAGTGCATTCCCATAGGATAGAACGCGTTCAGAGAAAATTTACCCGTTATCTAGCTTATCGTAGTCGCGATTTTCCCCGGGATGCTGATTACAATACTCGTCTCCTTCACTTCATAATGACGCCATTGGCTGACCGACGCAGACTATCTGACACATCTTACACTTCATAAGCTTATCAATGGAAAATTGATTTGTACAAGTCTAATTAAACAGGTGAATATTAAAGTCCCTTATCGAATACCTAGACATCCGATGTCAAAAAGCTTTGATCTCCCTCGTAACAATACTAGACTTGGTGAGTGTGCTTTATACCGGTGTATGCGTACCTACAATGATTTACAAGACTGCAGTGTCGACGTTTTCCACAATACTGAGCGCGTATATAAGAGCTTGTTTGTGGAAAAAATAAAATTAGCCCGTAACACAGACTAAATAATATTATAATTCAGTATACCTGTTTTTCATGATGGTGGATATATTTTTTGTTTGTTTAATCTGTCATTGTAGTTTATTTGTATTTATGTGAATGTTGTATTCACCTATTAAAAAGCATATCTTTAAGTATGGTATATATATATATATTTCAAATTGTAATGTAAAATTATGTTGTTGGTGAATCTTTGTCAATAAAATAAATCGGTAAAAATCAATATATTAATGCACACCTCACTCCACAAGTACAAATAGGTTTTTATGTTTTTTAAAATGTCCATAAAGCTATAATTTTTCGAAAATAATCTGATTGAAGCACTAGGTCACTTAGGTCACTAGGTTAATAGATATTATTACCGTGACGAGGTATACCGCCCTCCTCCAAATTTAATGTTTGTTTTATTCCTGTTATTTTGTATCATAATAACAGGTGTTTGATTTCCCTGAAAAGTATCTAAACAATGTTGAAAACAACATCGATTCCACCAGCATGGCTGTCTAGTCTAGCCACAAAACGTTATTTAATACCCGTAAATAATGTTTACAACTTTGAATAACAAACTAAGCCGTGTTTATTTTGTTTACTGCCATCAGAATCTGAAAGGGTAAACTTAAGTACACATATTAATGTATGCACGAATTGCAATGAATCGGACATTATAGTCCGGGAGGTAGCGTTGCATTTTTGGCAGTGATTTTACGCCGACTGTTTGCCTTCCTTTACTATTTATCGCGAACTACTTATAACTGAACCAAGCGTCAGCTGGCGCACCCGCGGTGGGTGTGGAATTGGGAGGTTGCGGAAGTGGTAAAAAAAAATAAAAAATTAAGTAATAGTACGCCAGCTCAAACTTTTTTCACGAATAGTTGACATCATACTGAGCTGAAAAAAAATCGTCAGCTGCATCGTGAAGGGGGGATTACGCGTCAGCTGGCCGCATGAATTTGTAAAAAAAAACGTAAAATAAAGTTATAATACGTCGGATGAAATTGAACTACGTGATTCTTTAAATAATCATAAATACGAAAATAACAATCAGCTGCGTATATAGCGGTGGAAAGACCGTCAGCTGACGCAGTAAAGGTAAAGATTATTCTAGCAATGGACAGAATCTTTCTCGATATATTTTCGTTTCGTTTTATTTGTAACTAAATAAAAGAAAATCGAGGACAAAATGAAAAGAACCCAAAATATATTAAAAGTTAATATGAACAAAATCGAAATATAGGAATAAAAAGATCGCGCGATGAATAACTCATCGTCGATGGTATCGCTATCGTCGTCGTTCTCTGACGAATCATCGGCCGAACTGTCCTGCCGGAAATCGTTTTCTTCGTCTTCATCAAGTTCTCGACCTCGATGTTCTTCACCGTCATCTGTAAATGAGCATGTGAATGATCAAAATTAGGCTACTAGAAAGCTGAAAGAAAGTGTCACCGACAAAAATTCCATACCGCCAATATTTTCGATGCTATCCGTTATACTGGTGACTGATAGGGGTACTTGATCTCCTTCGAACTATTTAAAGACATATTTGTCGTCGTTTTCTTCCCATCCCCAGTCCGTGGGAGATAATTGAGAAGGGTCTTGAAGGTGAGCATGGCTCCAAAGGTGCGCTATGTATGACGTGCGCAGTAAATGCTGGCGTAGCTCGGATTTACATGGTGGGAAGATCGCTCCGTCGATACGGTTTTTCCACCTGAGCACATCGGTTTTATCATTGATTTGATAATTTTTCGCGAACGTAGCAACTCGTGTAGCGTTGACATCGTTTATCGCTTTAAATCCGTACAAGCGACAAACAAATTCTTCAATCGTTGTGAAGACCTCGTCTAATTCACGACTCGGAATATTTGCGATATTCCCCAACGCTCGCATATATGCCTGTGATTTTCGCAACAATTGTAAAGGCTTTTTTTTTCCTTTCCTGTAAAATGCAGGATTGAAATCACAGCCTGTGAGGGCATGTAAACCTGGCAACGCAGAGCACAAATCGGTTCCCAAATTTTCATATAGACTTATCTATGCTATGACGTCAAAACATTTGTAAACAAACACTCGCAAGCACGTAGGAAATAAACTTTCTAAGTTAATATTATAAAACCATGACTTCTAATAGATCACATGAAAAATATAGTAGTTATCATGATACACTTGGTAAAAGACTCCAGAAAAGTTGTGGTTTAAATTGCCAAGAGAAATAAACATACTTACACATGAACATATGCTTAAAACTTGCTAAATCCTGTAACTTTGTCGACTGAAAGTCTTTTCTTTTTGCAAAGATCAATTTGATGTGAGTAGGTGCTCATTGATAATATTAAAAGTTTAAAAATACAATTTTTAAGGTTATGAATGTACCTACTAAGTCAAAGAGTTTTGTCGTTTCTGCTTTCACAAATCCTGAGGCCAGCATTAATTTAGTCAACAAAACCAATAGGTAACGGGAACCTTTTCTACAAGATACAAGAGTGTTTAGATACATCTTTATAAGAAATAAACATTTGTATAGTTTTTAAGTAAAGTAACGGAAAATATTCTTCTTTATTCTAGTGAATTAAGTTATTTTACAAATTTGAAAAAAATTAAGAATATACGTAGATTCTGGGACTGAAGTTAGTAGGTTTCCAGAAAAAGCCTAAAATACGTAGATCTACGTAAAAAGACGTAGAGTTGGCAACACTGGGGAGAGGCTTAGGTAGCCCGAAGGTCGTGTTATGGGTTCAAGGAAGGCCAGAATGTATCGCAAAATATGTGTTTGAAAGCGAACAGCCTCACAGCAATACTCCAAAATTTTAAATCTTGACTGGGTCAGCTGACGGTCTTTCCACCGCTACACAATCAGCTGATTGTTGTTTTCGTACTCTAAATTTTTTGAAGAATCGCGTAGTTAAATTTCATTCGGCGTATTATAACTTTATTTTACGTTTTTTTTTACAAATTCATGCAGCCAGCTGACGCATAATCCCCCCTCCACGATGCAGCTGACGATTTTTTTTTTGCTCAGTATGACATCAACTATTTATGGATAAAGTTTCAGCCAGCGTACTATTACTTTTTTTTTTTTTTTTACCTCTTTCGCAGCCTCCTACACCCGCACCCACCGCTACTTGAGCAGCTGACGGTCGGTTCACTTATTAGTCATATAATATCAACTATCGACGTTAATATCAGCCGGCTTACTATGACTTTTGCATTTGCAACGCTACCTCCCGGACTATTACACGATTGTTTCTGCCAGAACGACAAAGGGAAAATCGATCGTTATTCATACGAATAAAATCCCTGGTTTTTTAATTTTCCTGCGACATATATACCTACCTATACCTATATAATATACCTATATATGTTTTAAGATGAAATATTAGGTATTATTATATAAATAAGTCGGGTACTCCAATATAAGCTGGTAATAAACACCTACCCTCTCCTTTTGTGTGGATGTTTAATATTTGTTTATTTTAATTGACAGGAGGGCGTGACAGGAGAGTGGAAAGGGGCGTGGGTGATGCTGATCAGAAGAGTGCTGGTGTACTACACCACAAGAGACCCTGACGTCTGCACGGTGGACTTGAGAAAGACCAGATGCGTCGGTGAGTGATATTTTGTTTCTGATTATTAAATATATAAGGGCGCTTTTTTTGTTTCCTTCCAGGCGCGGAAACCCTACAGCCGGCACGGTTATGTCAGACTCTCACTGACTAGAACACACCCGTGGGGGAAATTACCTATGGCCATAAGGGCCTTCTGATGCGAACATCCCCTGAGAAGGGGGATGATCCAGAAGCCGATTCTTTGTCCCTGATTTATACCGCGTGTGGAGCGGTCTGAAAGGTTTTCGCAATGTTGAGTAAATTGGGTGCGGAGATAATAGACTTTACTCACACTTTAACATCAGGTGGCAACAAGTAATTTGCAATGCGTTCATAATTAAAAATACATATTCCAGTCAAAATAGTTATAATTTATCCACACGATTTTAAACCATAACATGAATTGGTTTTCTGTATCGAATAGCAAAATGTCTACTGATTAATATTAAAACAAACAGCATATGCGAAGTGTCAAATCGAAAAAGTCCTGTTTGATTCATATCGTGACGCATAATGAGAAAACCTTTCTATGAAACTGAATGCAGCTGAAATTACACGACTCACTACTCAAAACATTTCCGCTCGTTAAGCTTCACCTCAACTGTTTACATGCGCTCGCAACGTAAGCTCTCAAACAGAATATTTTTAACATTTTTTTGCTCCTCCTATTGACTACGCCCAATATTATAAAGCCTTATAAATATATATAGCCTTTCAGGATAAATGGACAAGAATTTTAATAGTAATGGTGGCGTGTATTTGAATCAGTTTCAGATATAGGTAGACGAATAAGTACGACTAAACTAACTCAATGACACTTGAAATTAAAATAAATATCCCCATGTACACAACTCAAAACAGGGTAATATGTTTAAAGGACAATGGGCAAAATTGTATGGACGCTGCACCCACGTCCGCCACGGTTTAAACTACATTTGTTTGAAAGGTATTATAGTCATAATCATCTGTGCCAAAGCGCATCAAATTCTATGGGGGTCTTTAGTTATTTTAAGTTAAATAGGTGCAAGTTCATAGGTCAACGTAACTATAACTAACATAATATATATTAATGATACAAGGACGATTATATAGGATGGATCTATTATTTGATGACCTCCGTGGTGGAATGGTATGTACGCCGGCATCATGTAATGGTATCATGGTGTCGCCGACTCGAGAGGTGCCGGATTCAAATCCTGGTGAGGGCAGATGTTTGTGTGATGAGTACGAGCATTTGTACTCCAGTCATGGATGTTTAATATGTATTTCTATATCAATATTCTTATATATGTACTGCATATGTATTCTATTCGTTACCCTAGCATCCCATAACACAAGCCTTACAGTGCTTACTTTGGGGCAAGGCTAATCGGTGAGTGTAAAAAAAGGAATTAATTATGAAACATTATTTCATTTCAAATATTTTTAATAATCTTCATCCAGTGTCTAAGAAGAGAGCCGTTCTGTGAATATCCTCGTCATGTCTTGCCAGACATAAAAACCATATGACCACCATAACATGAGCACAGCAGCCTAAAGTGCAGTTTCCCGTTTAGCATGAGCATAATGAATAAAATAAGTAATAATGTTTTAATACATTTATTCCATACTCGTCTTCATTTATCAATATATAGGAGTAATAGAGCTTAGACCTCGTATGCCTCGAATCTATTTTTGCTCGCAAAAGCCACAGATTTTTTTGACAAGCACCGCAAGCACGGTTATTTCATTCAGCCAATGTCAAGTAAAAGATCCTTCTTTTACTTGACATTGGCTGAATGAATGCATATATGCAGAAATGCATTTAAATAGATCCGTAGATTTTTTATTGGCTAGTACGATTATAATGACGTACGTGATGATAATCGTGTTCCTATTTCCAAAGCGTGTTAGTTAAATATCAATGAAGTAACAGGGAGCGCACAAAAAGTAAGACATATAACTGCATATGAGTAGACTAGTTGGAACGGCAACTGCAAATATCACATCCTTCAACCCCCATACCCTTACCCTGTTAAACGTTTTGAGGCGTCTCAGTAAGTGCAAGCAGCAAGCAAGCAGGATATTCGGTAGGCTTTGTTGTATAGTATTTTGTATCTGGTTGTATAGTAAGATATGACTCACATTATTATGGCTAATATTATATAACGAAAGTACTATTGATTTTGAATGAATTTATTTAGCTATTTAATAATGCCCATGTGTGCAACCGGCCGCCATGACTTACACACGACTGATGGTTTTCTTTAAGGTCTATGTGCGGAAACCTTAACCCCTAATATAGAACATGCCCATATGTATATCTTTTGACTCCCAGGATATTTTTTTACGGTGTCATAATAAAAAAGGCTAGTTTTTCATAGATCTATCGATTCATACTAATTACATTGTTGGCGGAGCTGGGTGCGTTTTGCCCATTGTCCTTTAAGAAAAGGACATTGGGCAAAAATGTATGGACGCTGCACCCACGTCCGCCACGGCTTAAACTACATTTGTTTGAAAGGTATTATAGTCAAGATCATCTGTGCCAAAGCGCATCATATTCCATCCCGGGGGTCTTTAGTTATTTTAAGTTAAATGTGTACAAGTACTATAACGAACGAACATTAATGAAACAAGGGAATTAATTTAGTTAGTTAGTTCGACTCTACATAGGGTGCTAAGGAATTATGGGAGTACTTCACAAGGTGCGAGAATGCCCTCTTATGTTATTCTGCCGCGCTAGAGTAAATCAAAACATCCCCGCATGGGTTGGGTTTTTTTTAAACATTTATGTTCGTTGTAGTAAATTGTTTTCTATGTAAAACGGAGCGACCACAGATTAAACAAACTTATCCACGCTTCGGAGAACACATGGTTCCAGTTCATCCATACTAATTGACAAAACCGATAATCGTGTTCCAATATCCAAAGCGTGTTAGATAAAAATCAATCAAGTAGCAGGGAGCGCACAATCACAACGAAGTAAGACGAGTCGACTATTTGCAACTGCAAGTCCTTCATCATCCGTAAACCGTTTTGAAATGTCTCAGTAAGAGCAAGTGCAGGATGGTCGGCAGGCTTTGTCGTATTTCTGGTTATATAGTACGATATATCATATTATTATGATTACTAATAGATAAAATGAAGTTATTCAGCTACTTAAATATGCCCATGTATCTATTGAGTACCAGGATATTTTTTACAGTGTCATATCTTTTGACTCCCAGGATATTTATTTTCGGTGTTATAATAAAAAAGGCTAGTTTTTCATTGATCTATCGATTCATACTAATTACATTGTTGGCGGAGCTGGGTGCGTTTTGCCCATTGTCCTTTTAGATTTTACGCCTAGCAGCTAAATTATTAAAAAATAAAAATATAATAAATACTGTCTAGTTTTGGACTTTCGACAAGTTGACCCCGATGGATCGCAGTAACAGTTTTCGCAACGGATTAACCAAACTCCGATCCGACCGTTGTAAACTTAAAAAGTAAATTAATGTGCAGAAAACAAAAGTGATAAGCGTTCGTGTTCTGAAGAGTATTTTGTGGCCTTGCAAAGCTTTCGATAATGAAATAAGAAGAACTCAAAATTTAATGAGTAGCACTGTAAAGTACTCCAGTTGCTCATAAAAACAAGTTTAAATAATGTAGATTTAAAATTAATTTATAAACCATGTATTCAAGCGTCCTACGTATTATCAGGCAACGGAAATTGTGGAGAACCACATACCTTGTCAAGACGATACAAATGAGCCCGAACTCGGTGAGATTACCTCGTTTTCATAGTCACCTCCTGTCTCCCAACATCAGATCAGCTCCATTATATTATTACATTTTAATTGTCATCCGATTTATACATTCATACAAAATGTCGGCTCAATCCGAAACCGGAAAGTGAAACAATAGTCAAAACCTGATTATTCTATATATTCCCAGACTTCATTTCAGTATACGTGAGTGGAATAGGGTAAGCTTTTAATCACATTATGGTTATCGTCTAGTCAGCTCTTAGTTAAGTAAGGTTCTAATAAATCCAATGATAAAGCTTTAAATTTATATATTGAAACTAGGCAGGTAATGGAAACTAACGAAAACAAGTGATGCAACCTCACGAACACATTATTTCATTGCAGCCACAAAGTACCTACATACTAGTATCCAGTAAAACTCAACCCTGAGATCCAATTTTTTTTCTTGGCGCAAGGCAGCAGCCAGCAGATTTTATTGCTGAGCTAACGTCTAGCATTCTCTTATAGTCACAAAAGAAGAAGAAAAGACAAAACGACTAAATATTAATCATTGTGATTTGCAGGCTTCTATATGCTTAAAGACGCTATCTCTATTCTAGCGAAGCTGATCGTGCCGTACCAAATTTCTCTTAAGGCAGCTAACGAAGGCTTTATGAAATACAGAGTACCTTGTAATGCTTGCAATTGGCAGCAGTTGCAAGAAGAGTAGTATTATAATATGTGCGTGTTGGATTCCTTATGGCGCAATTACATTTGGTCGTCAGCGCGTATTCGGGTGCACGAAAGGCAGTGTCGGGTAAACAAAAAGAAATATACCCAAGTACGGGCGCACTCGAATCCGTTCATTTACGTGTTCGTTCATTCGTTTACCTGAATTCCATTATCACTCGTATTCGGCCAATTGTAATTAATTATAAATGCTTCATGAATCATTGCGCTGGAAACGTTTTCCAAAATCTTAAGTGCATTCAGAACGTTACTGGAATCTTTATGCTAAGCAAGTGACACAGAATTCGTTCATTTCTTTCAGTACCCTTGACTTCTTCAGCGTAGAATAATCAGTTGCCCATAAAAATGTATATTATAACCTTCACCTTCGTCAAGTTTAATAATCGCAACAAAAAAAACCAAAATATGTTTTTTAATCAATTCAGCGGTCAAACGTGAAAACGTAACAGACGCACAATCAGAACAAGCTTTACTCGACTAAGGGTGGATTCGACCCTACAAGAGTCAATCTTAATCTTAGAATAAATCGTCAGTTAA